TCGGCCGAGCCGTTTTCGAGAAACATTTGTATCGTTAATGAGTCACGCGTGGAGGTTTATATTTGCTGGATAGCAGGGCACTGACAAGCAAAGCAAAAGCACGCAAAGCAAAAGCGGCAGAGATAGGGCCGGAAGCGAGTCTCACTCCAATCACTGATCCTCATCGCTGCTTTCTGAGGGGAGCTCTAGCTCCTCCCCGTCCCAGTCCGACCCGTCCGAGTCGGACCGGTCGTTGGAGGACACGTCGTCGAGAAGGGCCGTGCGCAGGTGGGCGGCCAGGCCGTCCTTGTCCATCGCCAGGGCCTCCCAGCCCGCGGGCGGGGCCCCCAGCTGGGCCAGATCCTGATTGAGGGACTCGACGACGGTGTGGCACGGCCGTCCTGGTTTCCGCCGGGGGAACAGATCGAAGTCCAAGACCCTTTGGAGGGGGCCGGCCGGGTCGGACCGCCGGACATGGGCCCAGTAGCGGATCCGGGAGGCACGGATCGCCCTTGTGATTGACGAGGTCGTCTTGTCGACTCCGTGGAGGCGTAGGGGGTGGAAGCGCCCCGCGGCGCGCCGCGCATGGATGAGAAGGGCCCCTACCATGATCGCCGCCTGCCTCCGGAGTGTCGACCTGGAGGCCATGATGGTCGCTGAGGTGGCCTGGGCATAGGAGATGGAGGGGAGGATGCAGGACTGATAGATGCGCAGGACCACCGAGCGCGGCAGGGGGTGGCGGCGCAGAGTGGCCCCCAGGGCGGCCACCGCTCTGTGGGCCTTGGTGATGCGGTGGTAGGTGACCCCTCGGCGATCCAGGCGCGAGGTGATGAGAGCCCCGAGATAAAGGAGTCGATCCACCTGTTGTACTTCCCTCCCCGCCAGGATCACCGGGCGGGGGAGAGGGTCGGGGGCGCCCGGGACCCGGAGGAGATAGTTGCACTTGTGGAAATTGAGGTCTAGGCCCACACACGCCGCCGCCTCCACGAAGGCCGCGAGGAAGTCCTCGAGGTCTTGTCGGTCCGTGGAGGCCAGGAGCAGGTCGTCGGCGTAAGCGAGCAGCAGCGGGGTGAAGTCTGGGGAGTCCAGATGGAGGGAGAAGCGGGGGAGCTGAGCCACTGCCGTAGCGACCACCCAGTGAAGGGCGAGGGTGCACCCCTGTTTCACTCCCCTCCCGGTGCGCACCTCCCCCGTCCTGGTTCGCCCACAGCGAATGGACGTAAAGTCCGTCAGGGCGAGGGAGGTGATGCGGTTGAGGAGGAAGGGAGGCATACCCCGCTGGAGTAGGACGGCGGCGATCTCCCGCCACGTCACGTTGGGGAACGCGCCCCGGATGTCCAGAGCCAAGACATGCACGGCGTCCCCAGCTCTCCAGCGCTCATCGAGCACCTTCCGCAGGACCAGGACGTGGTCGTATGTGCCACGCTGGGGTTGGAAGCCAGCCTGGTACCACGGAAGGGGCGGGAGCACTGTGAGGAGGAGACCGTGCAGATACTTGGCCAGGAGCTTGTAGACCGCATTCGCCAACGTGATGGAGCGGAAGTCGTCCACCGAGAGAGGGCGGGGGATCTTGGGGATTGGTTGGATGACCGAGGTGAGCCAGGCTCGGGGGAAGACTCCAGTCCTCCAGTGGCCGCCGATGAGGGTGGCTAGGTCTAGGGACCGGGTCCCCGTCCGCAAGCGCCGCTGCCGCCTCCTGCCAATCCCTGAGCTGTGGACCGCCGGCGTGACCTCCGAGAGGGGCCCTCCGGGCCACCCGCAGGTGCCGGAAGACTGCATGGAGCCGCGCCGGTGGGCGTGTCCCATCCACCGCCCCGAAGAGGAGCGCGGTCTTGTCCCGGGCGTGTTGCTCCAGCGCCGTCCTGTGCGCCGCTCGGGCCAGTCGGAGACGGTCCGCCGTGTAGGGGCGACGCCCCGCCCTGTGGTGGGCCGTGAGGGCGGCCGAGACTTGGTTGGAGGTGTGGCGCCGTCGCGGCGTCTGCGGGGAGGCCGGCTGGAGCAGGACGGCGTTGGCGGCAGTCCGGAGCGCCCCAACCAGCTGGCGCCAGTCGAGGGGTTGATAGGAGTGGCCGGCGAGCTCCGTGACGGAGAGGTGGAGGGCCTCCGCGTACTGCTGCCGGACGTGAGGAGAGGAGGAGAGAAGAGTGAGGGCCCAGGTTTGGCCGGGGGGG